ATTCCACAATTTTGAATTACGACACTATTGTAATAGCTGTGCGATATGTCTCGGCTGATCTTGGGGACTTTTGGTGAAGTCTCATTCTGGTGACGTCGCCCGATTATTATGGTGAAATGAGTTAAATATGTCGAATAGCTAGTATATCGTACCAGGCGCAGGCGCACGCGGCTTGCAGGGCGGCACACTCTGCCGTTCCGGTCGGTTCGCCGTCGTGCCCGTGACCACAGACGTGCTTGTTTCCTGCGACAAATATTATAATATAAGGCATAAAAGTCGTTAAAAACCAAAGATCTGCAAAAATTTCGTAAGGCCTGCTGGCTGCGTTCCGTGGTTTAATTGGCACGGATTGCCTGAGGGTACTGGTTCGAATTCAGCCCGATCGAATGTATTTTTCTAAATGTTCGATCTTTGTTATTAATAATTAAAACAAACTAGTGGAGTAACTTCACACAAAATAATTGAATATCAATTCAATAAAACATCGTGACATTTAATAAACTTTACAATTACAATTATAGCGACATCTCTTAGTCAGCGATGGTAGCTGTAAAGGTACCTCTCTGAGTGAAGAAATAAATTTCTCACTGATGGCGCTGTGGCAAAAAGTCGTTAAAAACAAAAAGTAAGATCTGCAAGAAGCACAGAGAAAAATCGTAAATATCATATCTTTCATTACAAAATGTCACGGCTTTCGATTAATTGGTAACCAAAATTAGATTGTTCGAATATAACGCTCGCCATCAGCATGTTTCTTGTCAAACAGCTGCCGCCCTCGCATGAGCTTGTTTTGGTTTTTCCAGGCAAACATATCAAATTTCAGACTAATTCTATTGTATTTTTAACCGACTTCAAAAAAGGAGGAGGCTCTCAAATCAATAGTTTTTTTTTTACGTATGTTACGCGATAATTGGAGAACCGTCGGTTTTTTTAGTGCTCTGTACTGATTAATACGCTATTCACTAGTAGTTTTTTAACTTTTAAAAGGTTAGAAACTCAATAATGTCTTCTTAACGGTAACAGTTGTTACCTTGGCATGTCTGTCCGGCGATGGCGCGGGAGTCGTCCTTGTTGCGGCCTCGGCCGGTGCGTCCTTCGTGGGCTGGTCCGTCGTCGTGGACTGCAAATGTATAATTACGTTACTAGGGACTCATGTGGAGGGAATAAGGTTCTTATTCGCGTAACGGCAACGATTTGTTTCGAAATGGTAGTAGATTTTGTATTGTCAATACTAAAGCCAAAGCTGCCCTGAGGGTTGAGCAGTTCGAGTCCCGCCACAAGGTGAATTGTAATTCATTTGTGGTGAGAGTACCAACTCAATATCTGACCGACCTTCATGAAGGAGGACTTTTGGCCGAAGGGTGTCATGTTCCGGCGTTTCCGAGGACGACTATCGGACACCCATAGTGCGGCACACGTCGCGGATATTTTACAGGCAAGACTCCTTGCCTACTCGAACAGTGCGTGAGTGAAAGAAAGAGGAGAGGGGGAGAGAGGGTGAGGAAGAGGGGAGATGCAGTACTCACGTATCCGTTGAGATGCGGCTGTGCAAGATGGCGCGGCGAGGCGGGCGCAGGCCGCTTGTCGGGCGCCTTAGCGTTAGTGGACGGCTCCGTGCCCAGCGCCGTGGTGCCCTCAGCCTCCAGGCGGCGGCGGGCCTGGTACCGATAGACATGTGCATTCACTCATCACATTCAACATACATATGTGTATTTTGTGCGAATGCCGCTAGATGGCGTTAGTTGGATTTTGCATTATTGGATTTTGGATTAGATGATGCATTATATTTTAACATTTTATAAATGTATTTATTCCAGTAAAACTCCTTGTGAAAGCATTCGTCCAGAGAGTACTTCTCTTCCAACTTGTCTATTTCTGCCTCCAAGCAGTAATGTGACATTACTGCGTTCCAGTTTTGAACGATTAGGGGTGCTAGTGAAATTACAGGCATGTGGGACTTGTCAACTTATGTCTCAGGGTGACTGGTGAAGTGGCAGTGTCCCTCAGATTTTTGCGATTTTAAACTTCGAGTGGCGCTGCAACTGTTATGGACAGGCGTGTCGCTAACCACCAGGCGCACTACTTGTTCGTCTTATCACTTGGTATTATAAAACGCCATGAAGAATTTGACACACCCACCCATATCAGTTGCAGTGACACTCAAAGCTTAAAATCGCAAAGATCTGTGGGACACTGCCACTTCACCCGTCACCCTGAGACATAAGTTGACAAATCCCACGCAGTAATGCTTACATGTCTCTTTGACGACAGAAAGAAAATGAGCAGTAATTTACCGGACGAGCTCTTTCACAATGAGCTCCACTGCTGCTAACTCTTAATGTTATATTGCTTGTCCACAACCCAAGAAGCCAGTTAGTAAATAAAAACTGTCGCAGGGTGCAAATATTAAAAATACACTCCGGCAATTGTTGGAATCACAGTTGGTATGTAATAGCAAAATCATGATTTTGTTTTCGTCATCTTTATTCAGAAATAAGGTCCATACATTCCTGGTAACTAATCAGTGATACATCACTTATAAATACCAACTCTCGTTTGCACTGAAATATAGACAGCGCCAACAACTGACCTGTGTGTATGTCTCCGTATATTCCAAAAATATTCTGTATTTATTGTAATAAAGATAATATCTTTAACAATGGCGAGCTGTTCCATTCGGTGGTGTGGGGAAAAACAGCAAAACATCCAATTACAAAACAAACGGAATCAAATTTCATCGGTAATTAAATATTAAATACGTAATTTTGCAATTTTCGTCCATTACTGCAAAGCTCAAGTTAACTGGTCGATTTGAAGTGAAACAATTGACGACACCCGTCCAGTATTTCGAACTCGGGCTGGCCAATCGGAGCGCAGTTGTCACAGTAACGATATGGAAGAATAGTTTTGAAACAAATTAAATGACATTTCGTCTCTATTTCTGGTTAAATGCTCGATGTCTTTATTATATGCACAGACCTAGGAATGGAATTCCCTGCTCGACTGTGTTTCCGAGCACATACAAGTCGAGCATCATTAAGGTGCGACTGAATAGGCATCCTCTGGGCGAGCTCGTTCCATTGTAGACCCTATCTCTAGCTAGCTAAGTAGCGGTCAAGAGCAAGTCCATTTATTTAAAAGAATGAAACACTCACATGGTCCGGGAGTGAATCCGGCGGTGGTACTGGCTCGGCATGTGTTGTACGCGTGCGGGATACGTTAACCGCCTGAAAATAAAGAGTTACATTTGTAAAATGAAACGTAAAGCCCGATGACAGCATTGGAATTGTTCATAGTAGATATAATAAAACTTGAAAAAAAATTCAACCAACTTCAATGACAAAGGGACGCCTCGGCAACATATCCTTTCAAACAAAAAAAGAATTTTCAAAATCGATCCACAATTGACGGAAAAATTGGTGAATGCCTATGAAATTTGAGAATTCCGCTCGCTTTCTATGGGATCATCAGAGTCTGACTTGGTGATAATGGGACCATATCAAAAGTATACCTTTTCTCGCAATTGACGGAGAAATCGATGAACATACATAAAAAAGACATACTGTCGAATATAGAACCTCCTCCCTTTTTTTAAGTCATTTAAAGTAATGCAGTACAAAAGCTAAGAAAAAATGTGGTGACATTTTTGTTATACTATTTTGTTTTTCTAATATATTCATTATACTCGTATTAGTGACGATGGATTTGACGACGAAGTATTATTTACATCATACCACATGACATTTATGGCATTTCAGGGCGTTTTGTCAGACCTTCTATACGTGCAGCCTGTGGACAAATTACACTAAAGCGACGGTCAATGCCCTGCGTGTCCAATACAATAATGGTTTTAGGATGCTATTGGGGCTGCCACAATTTTGCAGCGCATCAGGTATGTTCGCGGACGCGCGTATTGATAGCTTCAGCGCGATTATTCGGAAGAGAACTGCCTCCCTGATGCGTCGCGTGCGTGGCAGTTCCAATAGCCTAGTTCGTTTGATCAGGGAGAACTCTGTCAGTGAATTGTGGAAGCACTGGAACTCTAAAAAAATGGGTTCCAGGGGTTTAATTTATAAGTTACTGTAATATTTCGCAAATTTAGTACTAGCATAGGTTGTAAGAATTTTTTTTGTAACTAACACTAATATGGACTATGTCTGAAATAAACTTTTTTGAATTTGAATTTATACGCTTTCTATACATATAATTAGATTGATAGTGAAATTTGTCATTAAAATTTACAAGGTTTAAAACTATAATACAACATAAACCTTGTCGAGGTTATTATACAGTTTTTTTTTATATAAAAAAGTGCAATTTGGACTCCATCTCTCCTGATGGAAAGTGCACATATAAAACAATAACACATGCGCACCTACATGTATAATGCCTATTCACGCTCGCCTTGAAAATATCCAAGTTATGGCGTTCAGGAAATAAGTCTGTATGTAATTCCATAGTAATCTCTCACTCTCCATGATAATTATATCCTGTAGAATACCGATAAGCAGGCAACTCTACTGCGGTGTTCAAGACTCTGCAGATTCACCTCTAATATTTCCGAATCATATAGGTGACTCGCCTCTTGCCACGCTATGCAACTGAATCCAAGGTGGAGTTTGTATTTAGCAGAACTGTATCATAGGTTTCGACGACCACGTTGTTACATCGAGTATATAACCAAAAATAGAGACGAATTGTCATTTAATTTGTTTGAAAACTATTCTGCCTAATCATACCGGTGACGACTGCACTCCGATTGGCCAGCCCGAATTCGAAACAATTGACGGCAGTCGTCCATTGTTTCACTTCAAATCGACCAGTTTAACATGAGCTTTGCTATAATGGACGAAAATTGAAATGTGGTTCCGTTTGTTTTGTAATTAGATGTTTTGCTGTTTTTCCCACACCACTGTTGGAGATATTATCTTTATTACAATAAACACAAAATATTTTTGGAATATACGGAGACGTACACACAGGTCAGTTGTTGGCGCTGTACTATTTCAGCTTGCTAATTTGTGATTCAGCGCAAACGAGAGTTGATATTTAAAAGTGATATAAGGCCCATTTGCCTGATGAGTTGCCAGGGATGGACGGCCCTTATTTCCTATCTTATACTCGACGCGTTATTGCGATCTGTGTATAATTGAAATAAAAATAACATAATTAAATTAATTGTTCTCAAATAGGCAATACCCTACTCTATGGACCCATGACTCAAGAGTACTGCTAATGGCGATACAAGACAGCGTAGTCGGGTATTTAGTACCTATTGGTACATCAGATGTGGCGACGAGTACCAAATAGCTGTTTTTGTAACTAATTTGTTTTTAACAGACTAAAAAAAAAAAGGAGGTTCCCAATTCTACGACTGCATATATTTTTTTGTATGCATGTTACGCGATAACTCCGGTTTGTGAGCCGATTTTGATGATTCCTTTTTTGTTGGAAAGAGGGTACCTGAATATTGTTCCCATTTAAATTTGAAGAAAATATTTTAGCTTCAAGTATGTCTATGAATCTGGTTTCGCGGACTTACTAGTAACAGATTTCAATGAAACTCGGCAAATAGATGTAATTCCAAGGACTTTTGAGGTTTTTTTTAGTAAAGTCTGAGATTATAAATTGCCAAGCTGCAATTTATCAAAGCTACTACTACTATTGCACAGATTTTTATTGGTAACAGCTAGCTACAGGTAACTTTTAATCAAACATTTTATGGACTGCATCCATTTGTAGGATCTAAGCACACTTTTAAAAATCCACTTGCAGTATTGGTTTATTTTTCTTGTGTCGTGTCTTTTTAGTTAATAACTTTTTTAATGTACGTTTTTTTGTAGGTCAGAATTGCACTCTTCACATCGTTTTACCTTTCTTGTTGCTTATTATTGTAGGCACTTTTGTGTTACTGATACTTTTATCGATATATTGTAAAAAAAGACAACATTTTACCAATAACAATGAATTGTGAATGTTACGACGTTCAAATAATTAGTAATTGCGTTATTGCCTTCTTTGTCCTTATTTTGACAGTTGACCTACTAGTACCGAGATCAATTTTTCATATACACTTTAACAAGAATAGCCGGCTTTGATTATCTACATTGTAGATAACATTGAATTAAAATGAAAAACTTTAACATAATGTCGCCTCTTGGTATTTTTTAATAAACATAGTTCTAAATACAGTATACATGCATACATGTATTGAAATGAACTTCAGCTCAGTAATTTGCATGAATAATGGAACGAGGATCGAGTTCGGCTTTTTATTTCATAAGCATGACCAATATTTAGTCGATAGTTGATAGATAATATTTATCGACTGCAATCACTAGCTGTTTTCAAGCGAGCAACACTTTTGCGCAATGTACTGTCATTTTAATCTGTCTTCAAAAAAGACGGACTATACTTCCAGGTTATTGATCAGCGCTACCTAGATATAAGACGTAATTTGACTAGAATGTGTAGTGTAGACTAGGCTCTACTCTATGAGTAGAATTGCTGGCTGAATATAGGTAGTGATTATAGTTTTATATTTAGAATGTTAAGAAAACAGAAGATCTTGACATTTTTAGATTATTGATTTGTAACCTGAAAGTGAAAATATGTAAAATGGTGAAATAAACCAAAATTCTTAAGATGATCCCGGTTTATATTCTTAGAAGTACCTCTCGCTACGCAATCTGAGTTACCCCTCATTACAGTAGCATGGAGATAAGCAGTCATCTTGAGTTATAGGTACACGCCTGCACTATAAATACCAGAACAATGAATTTAAATCTGAGGCTATATAAGTATGGTAACTGTACTTCCCTGGCCGAACTCTTACACAGGGAGATCAACTGCTACTGCATAGATTACGAATAACGAAGTTAAAAATTTGTAAGAGAATTATTCATGTGAATGTATTGATGAAATAAAAAATGTTCAAAAGATGCTCATACACGCTTCAACGTAAAATAATTCCAAACAAATAACAAAAATGATACTTCGGGGAAGAAATTGTGTTAAAATTTTAGTAACGGAGTAAATAATCAAGTTCATTATTTACTCAGTGCTTCTATTAACGTAACGTAAACATTGATCATTGCATGTAGTTCAGGAAAGATGCCCCTAGATGGCGTTGAACCGTTTTTATGAAGTTTCTGGCATTGGTGAATCCATTTGTTTCATTTCATGTATTTCAGAGATCCTCAACAAAAGTATCGTAAAGTTCAAAGCACATTGTTAACTTTCTTATAGTCGAAAATGGAACTCAACTTTATACATAATATTTGCACTAATTAAAAACAAGGTAGTTAAATTAATAATTTATAACTATAGTACATAATACGGTGGTTTGCATTAATATTAGACATAACTGGTTGAAGAACTCCGATATGTGTAAGACATTTTTTTGATACCAGGTGACTGAACGAACAAGTCGTGCGCTTGGTGATAAGCGACACGCCTGTCCGTAGTAGTAGCAGTGTCACTCAGTGTATATCACAAAGATCTGAGAGGCATTGTCACTGCACCCGTCACCAAGAGACATAAGTTGTCAAATCCCGTGTGCCTGTAATTTCACCACTTGTCTTCCCCGAAATATCTATAAACAAAAGTCGTCAACCTTAAAAATATCAATTCAAATAACACACATTATCCATTACAATTCATTCCATACAACCTCATACAAAAATGTGACTACAACATAAACGCACAAATGTCTTTATTATACAAAATGAGTCTATGGATTAAAAACCAACATAGATTCTCTCACCGTTGACCGACACGTCGAACAACATAGTTATATAATCACGTAATATTTAATAAACGTGTATGGGTAGACTGTGGACGCAGGAACATGGTTTTATAAAAATCCAGGCCTAGAAACAAAATCGGGGCTTCTGAATGTTATCAGGCTGAATAATTTTTTAAATTATTTAAATAAAAATATATACACTATCATGTACTATTGGGTAATTTCCAGAATTTTTTTCCGGAAAAATTCCCGAAAAATTAGAAAAATGTCATTTGAACGGCTCATATTATGTTCTACGTTTAGAAATATCTTTTGAAGTTTTATTTTGCGTCAATTATAAAATAAACTTGTACATCTAAAAGCCATATAATACAAAAAACCAGAATTAAAATGATTCCACAACAGCGAAAAATGCTCCAACAACCACACCATCCCCATTTCGTTGTTGGCTCCATCATTTTCGTTCAGTAACTTCAACTTTTAACAAACGTCAACGTCAAATGTGGAAAAACAAAGGAAAAGCATTGGAAAAATATTGAAATTTCTCAAAAGTATCAGAGTCGCGGGGGGTGAGGGTCAGTCGGTACTCAGGGACGCGGGGCTGAATGTCAGTAATCGTGGAAATTATGTACGGAATTACACAGCATGTTTTCGTGCGGTGATCGATTCAACCCTTATCGACGACGGTTTAGATGATTAGATGGGTACCGCTAGTGTAAGAGCGATTACACAGGGCGACTTTTAGCAACGATGCAAACGCGCGACTGCAGCGATATAGCCGCCGCAGCGTATAGATGTTGAATCATAATGTACGAAAAATCAGTATAAGTTTATGCACATTGTTTTGTTAATTGTAAATTTAAAAGTGAAATTAATATAGTAGTTTATTGGACTGTTACATAATGAAAGGCATTAAAAAACGAGTGCGGGTTTTCATAAAAACATCGCACGAGTGTTTTAATGCCTAATTATGTACAGTTACATACACTGCTTTATCTATACACATATTATAAGCTCTCTGTGATGTGTTCAGGAACCGCATGTTACGACTGGCGAAATGGCGGCAAATAAAAACTATTCTCACCCATGTCACACAACCGTAGTTTTTACTTTTAATTCATAGACAACTAGAATCGGCCTCAACTATAATATCGTTCGATATCAAGTAACGGGTGAAATTGTCAAAATTGTTTGCTATTGACATTTCATTTCGAATAAAACTTCATCTCGACTGATATTAGAATTGAGGTCGAATCAAATTGTTTTGTTTTTCAGAGATGTTCAAAATTTTAATGTAATAATAAAATCGAATTATATGTTATTAAGAAGCAATAATAACATTTTCACAGATAAGAAATTTGTTCTAACAAAACTGTAATAATTGTATATCAATTTAATAAAAATTTTAATGAATCGCGACATCTCTCGTCTCGAGCCGGTAGCTGTAAAGGTATCTAATTGGGTGATAAAACTTTCATAGATTTCTCATAGATGGCGCTACGACTAAAAAGTCGTTGAAAAACCAAATACAAAGACACGACAACAAGCACATAGAAAAATTCGTGAGGTCCGCTGGTTTGTTCCGTGGCTTAGTTTGTATAGCGTCTTAATAATTAAAACAGTTTACCTTTATGCTGGTCGTAATTTGCGGTTTTTGAACACATTACAGATGGTTTATGATATGTGTGTAGATAAAATACTTTAAACAACTAAATCAGTTCATTCAATTAATTTAAAACGTACATTGCGTTTGCATCGTAGTTAGTTTAGGCATCGCAATTACATATTAGGCGCCAATATTTAAATGTTATAGCTTTGCTATGATGAATGTATAATTCCCTTCTTAATTCTTGTTTGAATACTATCATAGCTTTATTTACATTTGTTTTAATTGTATTAGATTAAGTTATATTTAAATAAATTTATCTTTATCTTTATATATTGACATAGTTTTTGCATCGTGTTTGCATCGCTGCTAAAAAATATCGACGACGAGAAGCGCCTTACAAACAATAAACTTAATGATGGGTGGTGATAGCAAATCGAAAGCTTGCTAATACGCTCAGGCCACGCTAGATGGAGTTACAAGTTGTAATTTTCAAAAAATAAGATTTAGGGTTTTTTGACGTATTCTCACACGTAAAGTATAGTCAAAACGTCGGAACTAGCTGCCTATAACATATTTTTAAACCCGTTTAACTGTATTCCATAACACTGCTTAGTTAGACACAAAATGGCTGACCACAGTACGTCCAACTACGTCGAGCTCCCACTGCCGAGTGAGACACTGTATTATATCTACTATATGGTCAAGTGGGGTCACGGGAACATACTTGATTTTGGGTCAAATGTTTTGAGCTCTAGGAAGAACAGATCGTCTATATATAAGAATTTTGAAGGACAATAAACTTGCCTTTGTTTTTGTTGTTGAGAAACAGTCATTCTATTTCTTATAATTTAATGTATACCTTATGGTGTCAACATTTCACAACTGTCGAACATTTTTTTCGATTCGGAGCATCGTAGCGACATCTCTTTAAATTTGTTTAAACTAATTCGTTTGTCTGTTTTATCGACTGAGAAACTATATTGCTAAACTTTTTAGATAATGAGCCTACCTGACCTATCCATACCTCACATGATGACATTAAGCTAAGTAAAAAGAAGAGAAAAATATGAAAGAAAAACTTACGTCTTTCTCCCAGTCGTATGGGTCAGAGTCCCTTATCCCGCGTCGTTTGCAACACCGCTCGAGCAGTGACGTCAGCATGGCGTAATCCGGCGTATCGGCGTATTCAAGACTCTGGACGTGTTCGAGGAATTGGCGTAACTCCGAAGGCAGATGCTTGAGGAGGAGACGGTGGTCGTATTTCTCTTTCATGAGTCCGACCTGCAAAATAGATTTGTGAGATATGTGAGATGCTGTACAATAACGTTTCGTATAAAGTTTTTGTTTCACTATAGTTTTAAACGTCGTTCAGTATGAACATAATGCCTGTGTAAGACATTTATTAATTCACAAAACATAGGAATGACAAAACTTAAAAACTAATAGAAAATACAATTGAGTGATGTGGACAAAATGGTTAAAGACTCAAATGCTCTTACTACTCGATTTCGAGAGCCATTCGTGAGAGTGAACGGTCCGTAGTTAGAGCGCCGCTTTTATTATCTTATCGACCCCTCCTTTCTAAAGTATTGTATGTCGAAATTTGCCAAGTTTACAGGGGAGCGTTTTAAAGTTCGCGGTCTCCCACGCCTCATCTCTTAAAATGTAGGTTGAAATACCTCGCATTAAGTAAAAAATAGTAGAAAGGCTGACCTCGTGAAGTTCCTTTCTTATTTATTTAACCCATAGGTTCCCAAACTTTTAGGTTCACCGCCCACTTAGGCAAGATAAAAAAAACTTCAACGCCCACCACTACAAAAAATTATTGAAAACACGTATTTTTTATATTAACACAAAAAATTACAAAGAAAAAAAAGTAATAGAATAGAATAGAAACCATTTACTACATAACGCAATAATACACAGTAAGAAATTTAAAAAAAAAGATGAAGCTAAATTAAAACAAAAATAAAATAGAATAACAAAAAATAAAATTAAATAAAAAGAATTAAAAATAAAATCTTAGATGAAATGACCATAAAGATAGTCAACACTATTGTGTGCGGCTGCGGCGTATGTAAAAGGATCCACTCAGCTAATGTCACCGCCGGGAAAAGGCTGTGACGCTGATTTTCAATGGACCCTAAAACCGAGTGAGTACCGGACGTGTGTGTCGCGTATAAACTAATATAAATTACTTATATGTTTCTGTAATGTAGTATGGTGTGTTCTCTTCTATTTATGGAATACTTAAATGATTCATTTGATACATATATACAGTGATAAGCAAGTGCAATGTAGTGTCCATCATTTACAACAAACTAAATAGAACTTATATTTAGTTTAAAAAGATACATGTAAGTGTAGTTTATATACATAATTCCATTTCTTTTGAAATGCGGTAATACCCCCTGGACAGCATCAACGCCCCCAATTGCTTTTAAGGCCTCTACCACTAGGACTCTTCAGCGCCCACTGGGAGTGATAGGGACCACTTTGGGTAACTTACGATTTAATCTAAAATTGAAAATTTAGTGCTACTAGTGGTTTTAATTGAGGATCAAGTGATTAGTAGACTTTACCTGTTCCTTGTCCTTGATCTTCCTCCAGGGCAGTTGGCCATTGACGAACTCGACGAGCATGTAGAAGAGCGACCACAGGTCGTCATGGCGACCCATTTCCTTGTTCTTGTGCGCGTTGATTGACGCGTAACGAACCGTGCCTGAGGCGGTAAGCAATAATATTTATCGTTGCACAATAGTTACAACATAGTAGTGAAGTTCCTGGCACCCGAACTAGGTATATATATGTTACAGGAGTTAGTGCCCCCTCTCAAACAATTGCCATAGCTTATTGCCTATTTCTTAACAATTTTAATAGGTACGATTACATTATCAAATATGAAATGTACATTATATGCTTTACAGCATGTGTGCGTTTACGGGTGAGTGAGTGAGTGAGTGAATGAATCAGTGAGTGACTTAGACAAAATTCCTTCCATTCGGCTGGATTCGAACCAACACCTTCTAACAAACCGTGCCAGACGCTTTGCCAACTAAACCACGGAAAGAACCACCAGACATTAGGAGTTTTTCTATGCTTATTGCAATCTTCATTTTGGTTTTTAAATGACTTTTTTGCGTATAGTGCCATCTGTGAGAAATTTATATCTCCATTAAAGGATTATTTCGAGTTTCTATTCTACATCACACTCTTTTTGGAGAATTCACCCGCCCCATAATATGTAAAAATTTGTTTAATGAAACATGTCTGGACCGAAGACGATTCGACGAGGTTTGTGCCCAGTAGTGGGCTAGCACGTACCTCTAAAGCCGGCAGCGGCACGCGGCGGTCGCACCTGCCCGTTGCTGGTGGTGTACTGCCTCGCCAGCCCGAAGTCCAGCATGTATACCTTGCGGCAGTTCGATGGATGTCGGCCTATGCTGAAGTTGCTCTGGAATAAAATAATTCAAATATAATTATTATTGAAGAAGAAGACTGTTGTCTTTGCCTACCCCTCTGGGAAAAAGGCGTGAAGTAATTGTATGTATGTATGTATTATTATTAATGCAAAGATAGAACATAAAGAAAACTTCCTTCGATTTGACAGGACGCGAATCTGACGTGAGAAATCAATCATGACATTTATTTCTCCACAAAATATAGGAATCACAATATTTAAAGGTATGCATTTAAATAATCTTTTTAAATTTGCAAAGCAGCAGGCAAAAAAATCTAAACGGTCATCTTTTTTAATGATTGATCCTCTTTCTCTGAGACACACCATAAATTAAATCGATGGATATTTTAATATGTTCTGAACTACGCTAAAAATGTTTGATTTGTATAAATTAACTTTGATAATCGGGTCAGCATTAAAAATAAAATTCAGATTCTTATTTTTAAAACTAAGTAAATGTTGATTATATTTGTTCTTATAATTATAATATAATTTGACCTGAAAACATGTTCGGAAATGCAAGCAAATTGGCTTCAGCTTGTTCATAACACCAACCTAACTTAACCTACTGAATGGAGGGCACAACCAAGCAACCAAGACTTACTAGAAGATCATGTATGAAAAAAAAAATATCAAAAGATATACATGTTATAAAAGTCATCAATCGTTAAAAGACAAGACCAATGATAAAAAAGAGGTTCAATTATTATTTTTCAATACCAAATATAAATTTAATATGCTTGAACATAATAATAGTGTTACCTTGAATTAAGTTCATTTATATCGAGTTCTTAGGTTTTCGCGATTGTTACACATCAAAATAGTTTCATTTCCTAAGTTCACTTATCTTTATCCGTAGACCAACTAATATAGATGGAACAATGTAACTCGAAATATGTGAAATTCAAGATTATGCTACAGCTGAACGTAAAATTTGATTCTGTTCAAGTCAATAAAACCGTTTTTTATATAATTTAACTCAAATTGAGACAATTTTTTTGTGTGAGCTATTTCTGGACAAAACAGCTTACAAAAAAATACGAAATTATTTTTCCCTTTTATTTTTAAATATAATATTTCGGATGTAGGAAATTGTTTAGATGTCTGTGACAAACTTTAAACTATATGTATATAAGTTTTAACAATATTTCTCGGCAAGTGATTAATACTTTTCTCATCAATTCTGAAAAAATACACTTTTTGAGTTAATACATTATTATATTAACAGTGCGATATATGAAACATAAAAAAAACGTGTATATACAGTGTATATCCTCAACGAGGTTGTATCGTCTCTTAAGATGAGATTGATACTTACAGGTTTGATGTCTCTATGCAGGAAGCCAACAGAATGTATGGAGTCTATAGCTTTGAGTATTTGCAGGCCCAATCTGAAGTAAAAAAAACACATTGCATTATTAAACAGGCCGGGAAGTAAGAAGTTTTAGGACGAGCCAGTAAGGCCTTGTAATACACGAGTTAAGCAATCACCGTTCCCGCCGAGGTAAATACAGAGCTTTTCTTGATAACGTAAAACCCAATCCTAAAGCGATAAAATTGTACCTAAATACTTTAGACCTTTATGATAGAGACAAGCGGACAACTTGGCGCAATACCATTGTCTTTTTGTCACTTACATGTTATGAATAAATAAATAAAATTAAAAATGCTTTATTTCAATAATATGATCAAATTTACATTAACAGTGGATGGTTCTTCCTGTTAGCTTGTTAAACACCTATTATTAATTTTGGTATTTAATTGAATAGACATATTGCAACGACACAACACATACATACGTGGCGCGCACTATCAGTTTCCGGAATGTATAAGAAAAAATACTATAAATGGTCAGAAATGAATTTATTGTTTCTCAAAATATTCTCCGTTAGCGTTAATGCACTTTTTCATACGAATGAACCAATTTTGAAAATATTTATGCCAATCCTCCGTGACAATCTCTGAAAAATATTTTTCATACTCTTCGACAGCCTTTTCAGGTGATGAAAATCGTTGACCGCGTAACTGGTTCTTAATTTTTGAAAATAAATAAAAGTCACTAGGTGCCAGATCGGGACTGTACGCGGGATGGCTCATAAGGTCTACGTCGTTCACCTTCAAAAACTCATTTGTCTGTCTGGCCGTGTTAGAACTGGCATTATCGTGGTGCAAGATGATACGGCGTTTACGGTTATTTTTACGGAGTTTGTCAATAACTTCCGGCAAACAAATGGTCATGTACCAATCCAAAGCAACAGTAGCCACGTGTGCATTTTATTTAAAAAAGAAACAATCATCCGCTTAGAGGCACTTTGCACGCGCGCCACTTTGGTTGGTTTAGGCTCATTTCGAAAGACCGTTACGCACGATTGCTGCTTTCTTTTGGAATCGTAACTATAAATCCATGTTTCGTCACCAGTTACTATGTCCCACACCAAATTTGACGCCCCTTCGTTGAATCTGGTACGCATGGCATTGCACCAAGAGACGCGATCCGTTTTTTGAGCCTCAGTCAAATTGTGTGGGTACCACCGAGAGCACAGCTTTTTCACACCCAAATGTTATGTAGTATTGATTGTATTTAACCGCCTAAAGATGCCCGAATCTCATGGTATGTCACATGCCTGTCTGTTATGATCATACGGCGCACAGCTTCGATGTTTTTGTGTTCACAGCAGTGGACGAGCAACCATCACGAAATTCGTCACTGAGATTCACACGACCGCGTTTGAATTTTGCAAACCAGCTATAAATAGTCGTCTTGCATGGTGCTTCATCGCCAAAAGCAGTTTGAAGCCGAGCGAAGCTCCGCTGAGCTGTTATATTACACTTGAAGTCGTAGAAAATCATTCTACGAAAATTTTCACAAGTTAAATTCATGGTGATGTAGACAACCAATTTCTAAATTGACGCCACAATGTAAAAACAAGTGACAGTCAGATGAAACAAACTGTATTCTACAGCCAAAGAGTTCCATTTTTTTTAGCTGTAATTACTTTTTAAATATTGTTTATGTAAGTGGCCAGTTCCGGAAACTTATAGTGCCCCCTATGTACAAAAAAAATATTGAAAACACTTAGACAAACAAAACAAAATAAAAAAATTATTAATAAACACAAAAAAAAACAAAATATGACGACTACAAATTGTACTGTAATTTGTGCGGTTGTGGCGTATGCAAAAGGACTTCATTCAGTTTATGCCACAACCATAAATGACTGTGAGGCTGGTTTAGCCATTTATATAATATTAGAATAAATAAATTTGTGTTTTATTTGTTAAGATTTTAAACTAGGTTGTACGTACGAAACCATGTGCCAAACTCGAGGGTCAAACTGTAATGAAACTTATCTATCAAAATATATCTGTTCTCCTTTGTGCCTTGCCTCCAACAAATAAGTCCGTGTTATTTTATAATTTCTATTGTTTTTAACTCTAATTAGAAAATAAGTTTTAATCAACCCTTTTACACTCAACAAAGCGTATCAAGCCTAAGTCAGGAGGCATCTTTCTTCCATATGTAACTTCTAAACAATTTTACTTTTAATTTGTATTATGTTGTATGCAATGATCAAATAAGCACAATTTTAACTTTATGTCACTTGTGTAATGTACAAACATGATACGAGTCAAATGTCTTGCTTGAACGCTTGAGTTACACTTTGTGTCAATCTAATTTAAATAAAAAGTAAACAAACAAGTCACTGCCCCAACGTTTAGTGATGGCCAATTGTAATGCCAACTACAAATCGATTAATGAATTGAATTAATCGATTTGTTTAATTTAATCGTACTAGTGGCTTTCCTTACATAACCTATAAAAGCTTATATAAAATTTCTGAAATGTTAACTCCTCCTTCAAATCCTTACACTTAGATAGATACTCGTTCGACTGCGATAGAAATTTTCGATTTACTAATCGATTACAAAAGCTTTAATCGAATGAACCGATTGTTTTTTCCGTACAACACTATGCAACCATAGACTATTCATAACTCTATATTTAAAAGATAACCTCACTTTTTGACTACCATTTTTCAAAAACGATTTTACGATGATATCAAATTAATGTTGTTGGAAAAAGCGATGAGATATCAAGTCAAAATCTTGTTCCTTATTCGATTTATTAAGTGATTGCTTTAGAATTGTAACCAAACCGGTTTGTTTACTTTTCGTCTAGAATGGATTGGAACAGACTAACCGCCGAGAATTTTTTTATGTCATCTAAATATGAATGTATGTCACTCACCTAAGTGTAGTAGAGAGCGAGAAGGCGCCACGCGGCTGCGCTCTCCTCAGTTCAGCTAAATTCCTGCCTTGCAATTGCATTACTACGTAATTGAATCGCGCGTTTCGACCGCAGCCTATGAAGCGACACACGTGTTCTTTGCCTGTGAATGAAAGAAAAAACAAACTAGTACATTGTGTATTAAGGACGGCAAATAAGAATACTTTGATTTGAAAGTTTATCACGATTTTCACACATTATTTGATTTTCAATTCGGGACTTAATTATGTATACAACATATTTTAATTATTACCGACACACAACTCTCACGACATCCGGCGACTTGTCTAGTGACAACCCTAGTGCACATATAAATAATGAAGATCAAGTGCGGGTAGTTAGAAAAACCCGCATGACTAGAAGATTCTGACACCCGACTCTTCAGTCCCTTTAAGACCATGGACGTTGCAACATGTCCGAAACGGCGAGGTAATTAAAATGTGTTTTATTCGTGATTAAGTCCAGAATTAAAAATCAAAATATAAGCTAAATAAGAAATTACCAACAATTTTTGTATTTGTACGTTATTTAAAAAAAATCTATGTGATTATAAAGGACTGATAATTAAAGTTATAATTATTGTAGTAAATGTTTTTTATTCGTAAAATATATCACTTATTTTAACGAATTACAATATCACGCGATATCGCGTTTCCGGCCATGTGGACAATAATTGCATTATGTATGGCCAATCACGCTATATCGCATGATAGATATTTAAAGTACATACATCCTATGTACGCATTAATAAGCGTATATAAATAATATATTAATTTAAATTGACATTTAAAATGAACACGTTCATTGCTAGGCTAAAAATTGAAATTATGAACTACTAATTGAGAACATTCCTCCTTTTTTTGAAGTCGGTTAAAAATATTAGATAGAATAATTAGCTAGACGAACTAATCGTGCACCTAGTGGGTAGCGACAAGTTTGACCATAACAATTGCCACTCAAAGTTCAAAAACGCAATGATCGGAGGGGCACTGCCTCAGAGTTTTCAGACCGGCAAAATGATAGTGACGGAGTGAAGATATTTGTGTTTTCCATCCGTTACTCTCATCTCTGGACTGTATTCGCGCTTTCCATCAGGCGCGGTGTAGTCATTTTGCCGAGTCGCAATAAAAAAAAAAGTCAACCAGAGAATAAAGTTGTCCCACATGCCTGTAGTTTCACTAGTACGGTAGCAGTACGTCTCTAGACGAGCTCTTACATACACAAGGAGCTCTACTGCATCTGTGTTGACAGACTATAGTTAAGAAGTATCATGACTTTTTACACCAGTTGTACACACCTTGAAGTTTTTTGAGTACAGCCACTTCCATCTTGAGCACCTGTTTGGGCTGCCTCGCGGACTCGACCTTCAGAGCCACCTGCTCCTGAGTCACCAGGTCCAGACCTTCGTAGATCTCTCCAAAGCCTCCGCCGCCAATTTTCTTTACCACCTGGAATAATTTTTAGATTTCGAATGAAGGCTTGTTATGTCCAGATAGGCCATATAAATGAATGTTTGTATGTTTGTCCGATAATGTATCTCCATATGCATTCAATAGATTGCGATAAAAAATACGTGAGTTGTTGCGTCCATGCCCGAAAAAGTCTCTGAAGTGTTAGACTCCACTGCTAAGCTCCGATGTCCACTAAGGAGATATAGTCCATCACTTTGGGTACAGCTATACCATAAATATTGATATCTTGGATATACCGTGATGATGATGGACGAACATCGAGTATATAACCAGAAATAGAGACGAAATTACAGTCTGTCAAAAAAGAGTTGAAAATAAATGAGGGCGCTGCGATCTGTTATAGGGTATCCCTGTATAGTTCGACTAAAAAATATTAGATACTTTCAATATTTGTACCTACTTCATTTTTCATAATTAATATTTTTAAGGGATCTGCAATGAGGATGGGCTGCAGCGTCCTCGAGTACCTAAACCTGAAGTTCCTCAAGTACCAAAAAGTGAGGCCTATATCCAGCAGTGGGTGTTAACAGGCTGAGATGATGAAGTATTTCTGCTTTCCACTTTTTGTTTGCATCGTATAGACGGGGTCTCTAGTGCTCGCCTCCTAGTTCGAATGGGATGGGCTCCGTGCAGACTCATCGGTAATCGCACAAAATATTCGAATTATATATCTTATTTCTTAAGTCAAAGTCAAATTATCATTTATTCCATAGCTAATATATATTTATTAATTATTTGTTCGAAGGAGCAAAAGAAAACCAATGTAATCCTTTTAAATAGTTTAATGAACTATATTTTAAATTTTTGCTAGGCAAGGTATACGTCCTAAAACTAACAGAAAAACAAAATATCAAAAATTAATCACTTATACGTGTACGTACACGTACGTCACGTATAGCGTGTCCCAAAATTCAACGATAAGCGGGCGCTGGAGGGTGGACCTGCGCATAACTACTTGAGGAAAAATAAGAAAAAAAATATATCTCATTTTTTTTTCAATTACGATAAAAAAATTGTAATTCTTCGAAAATTTACTCCCTTAATGATATTTTGAATCACCACGACCACATTTTTTCAGATATTTCTGATGTTTTAATTTTAACGGCCACCTAAGTAGTACTGCTGTCTACCACAACTCTTAAAAACCCTAGAATGCCTGCAGTTTTACACAAAAATCCATCAAAATATTTTTTTTTCCTTAAAATTTTGAAATATTTTTACCTTCAGTCGACTTTCACTCATCGTTTTGTAAAAAAAAAGTATGGACACCACTGCGGCAAGTTTTTTAAAAAATTGACGCAACTAACCAAGATTCCAAAATGGTATAATACTTTAATAAAACTAGGCGCCAAAAATATTGGTACCATTTCTAAGAAAGATTAAAATTCTTGATTATTGTTCTTGTTCATAATAATCGCTTTTACTATGTGCCGAAAAAAGGTTATGTGTTGCAATTTCTTGGAATTTCAATGGCACGTGTGCGTAGTCGATACAATTTAGAAATTAGAGAGAGAGAAAAATACCGAGAGATATACGTTAGAAAGAGATAGATAGATGTCCTTTGTTGAATAGCAATAGCGCAGGTAGAGAAGTTCCGGTGCTCAGCAAGTCAGTACGCTCTGCTCCTTTGTTTACTGCGCACCTTTCCGTAATCAATTGACGTAGCTCTCGTACTAACGACTTTTGGCTTGGCTTATTGGACTGGATTTAAGCGATCTGTAAACTAAATTGACCTGGCATCACTTTGGACTGTGAATTGGAGTTTTGGCGTATTTTGAACTGATTATCGTTTATCATGCCGCTACCATACACACCGGTGGAATACGCTAGCATGCACCTCATTTATGGAGAATGTCGGTGCAATGCTAACGCTGCCAGCAGATTGTATCGAGAAAGGTACCCAAACACTGAAAGATACCCGGATTATCGAGTATTTTTGAATGTGCATCGAGCGTTTTCGGAGGGTCATTTTCCATCTGCCAGAAGAAACGCTGGAAGACCGAAATCGGAATGCGATGAAGAAGTTCTCAATGAAATAAACATTGATGCAACTACCTCAGTACGTGCCATAGAAGCAGCTACGGGAATCCCAAAAAGTACGGCACATCGAATTCTGAAACGTCACAAGCTCCACCCATATCACTATAGGCGAGTGCAGACGTTATTGCCTCGGGACTATCCACTACGGATCGCATTTTGCCGTGTGATGCTGCAAAAACACCGGGAAGATCCCCAGTTCCTAGACAAAGTTCTATGGTCGGACGAAACAACCTGCAAGAAAGATGGCTATTTAAATCTTCACAATTTACATAGTTGGAGCAATGAAAATCCGCACCTGATGAGACACGACAAATCCCAATATCAATTCAAGGTTAACCTATGGACAGGCATATTAAATGGAAAAGTGATTGGGCCCTTTGAGTTACAAGGAAACTTAGACGGTGATACTTATTTGAACTTTTTACAAAATGATTTGCAAGAATTATTAGAAGACATCCCCTTAAGTGATGTACAAAACATGTGGTTTCAAAATGATGGTTGCCCAGCTCACTACGCCCGTCCTGTGCGAGAATACTTAAACCAAGAATATCCTGGGCGTTGGATCGGGCGACTTGGTCCTATCTTATGGCCACCCCGTTCACCCGACCTAAACCCCCTGGATTTCTTCTATTGGGGTTGTCTCAAAGACAGGATTTACGCAAAACCCAACAACAACAACAACATTGGGCGAGCTTCGGCAAAAAGTCAATCAAGCTGCGGCTCATATCAACGGTAGAAGATATGCACGACAGATAAAACGATCATTTTTAAGGCGATGTCGTGCATGTATTAATGCTGGTGGCAAACAATTTGAACATTTACTATAATGTTAATTTTGCAATAAATAAATTAAATGAAGAAATACCATTTGTTTTGATTTATTCAACATTTTTCAGCAACAAAAACCTATTTTCGGCAAATAGTAAAAGTGATTACTATAAATAAGAACAATAATTTAGAATTTTAGTCTTTCTTAAAAATGGTACGAATATTTTTTTATTAATTTCAACTCTTTTTTGACAGACTGTACGGTCATCAATCCCTGGCAAATATCAGTCAAATGGGCCTTATATCACTTTTAAATATCAACTCCCGTTTGCGCCGAAATCACAAATTAGGAAGCTGAAATAGTACAGCGTCAACAACTGACCTGTGTGTACGTCTCCGTATATTCCAAAAATATTCTGTATTTATTGTAATAAAGATAATGTCTCTAACAATGGGGGGCTGTTCCATTCGGTGGTGTGGGAAAAACAGCAAAACATCTAATTACAAAACAAACGGAATCACATTTCATCGGTAATCAAATGTTAAACATATAATTTTTCAATTTTCGTCCATTATGGCAAAGCTCAAGTTAAAAGTTAAAGCTCAAGTCAAGTTAAAGTGGTCGTTTTGAAGCGAAACAATTGACGACACTTGTCAATTGTTTCGGATTCGGGCTGGCCAATCGGAGCGCAGTTTTCATCGTAATGATTTGGCAGAATAGTTTTCGAACAAATTAAATAACATTTCGTCTGAATTTCTGGTTATATACTCGATGTGGATGAACTAACTGTTGGAAAGAGTACAGTGTAAACCAGACAGTTTTAAGAGTCTGTGATATACAAGCTTGCCACCAGGTGGCGCTAACCTATTTCTCTCATGGTCGGTTTATCTCAACTCATCTGTCATGTCACCACACCTCAATTATTTTGTGCTACAACACAATCTCTTTTTACCAGTTTAAACCTTCTTTATTTTTTATCATACCCCATCACTAACAGATGAATTTGCAATCTTTTAGCCTACGGAGATGTTGGTTCTCTGGGAGTCTTCTACCGTCTATATAACGGGAAATGCTCAAAAGAACATTTCGAACGAAACTTCCGTTCTTCTTCAGAAGAAGAAACAGAAGATCGTGCTTCCTGCCAAAGCAGTAGAGCACATCCCCACATCCTTGATATACCCTAAAACCACGCGTCTATTACGTTCGTTCCATCGAATATGCAAGATGTGGAATAGTCTTCCACCTGAAGTGTTCCTTGTGCGCTATGACAAAGGGTTCTTCAAAAAGCAAATATACAGGTCTAACTGCCTCCGTGGCCGAACGGTTACCATGCCGGACTGCCACGCAGAGGTCCCCGGTTCGATTCCCGGGCCGGGAGAAATATTTGTATGGCCTACAATTATTTTTCTCGTGAGTTTGGGTGTAATTTGTGGTTGTCTATGTGTGTGTCCATGGCACCTGCGACACAGGGTTTCCCTAGTGCGGGGCTATGTTGAGTGTGAGCGTTATTATTATTATTTATTATTACAGGTCCGTTAAAAGCTGACAATGCATAGGCAGCTTCTCTGGAGTTCTCAAATGTCCGTGGGCAACGCTGATCATCTCATGGACGGATGGAAAGACGGTTGTATTAAAAAACCTGGATGAAAAGATGGATGGCTCATTGACCTTCCATCGCTCCTTGACGACGAGTCCCGACTGCTAAAAAAACATGGATGAAAAGATGGATGACTGACTGACCTTCCATCGCTCCTTAACGACGTGTCCCGGCTGCAATAAGTCCTCGGTGGCCATGGTGATGTGGTGCGCGCGCCGGCTGGTGTCGCAGCGCGACGCCTCGCTGCGTCGGTTGCCGCCGAAGTTCGGGAGGGTTCGGGACCTGCACGTCAATTTTCAAACTTGTTTTATGCGCTGCCTTCACGCAGTACATGCTTGCTTGTTCCCGCTATCGTCCGACATATGTGGAACAGATTAGGTATTCCCTGAAATTTTGCTTTTATGGCTACTTTGCCACAGTGGTACTTACGTAGCTGCCTATTTACATAGCTTCATAATGGTATTTCCATAATTTAGCAAATCTACAAATTTCAAGGTTCTATGTCATCTATTTGTAGAACTTTGACTGAAATATGCTGTTGATTAGAAATATATATTCCCTTTATTGTCTTTAAATAAAGAGAAACCAGAAAAGTACGTTTACTTCATCATCATGAACCCATTTATACGTCACACTGTTGGGCACGGGTCTTTAGGTCATAGTCCGTCACGCTGGCTCAATGAGGGTTGAGGACTGTACACGTTTTCCGAGGAGTCTGAACCTTCTTCGACGTGCAGCTTTAATTACGACGTTCTCGTTCACCGAAAAGCTCATGGCAAATTTCAAATTAAATTTCGCACTTCAATTTCGAGAAATTCAGAGATGCGAGCTCGGAATCGAACCCCGACCTTTGCCTGAGAGGCGCTAGGTCAAACAATTAGGCTATACTTCGTTTCAATCCATTTTCAACAAAAAGTAAACAAACAAGTCACTGACCCGACCATAGACTGTTTAGTGATCGCCAATTGTAATGCCAACTACAAGTCGATTAATTAATTGAATAAATCGATTTGTTAAATTGAGTCATAATAGCGGTCTTCCCTACATAACCTATATAAGCATATTTAAAATTTCCGAAAACGTAATTTTAAATCCTCCTTCAAATCCTTAAACTTAGATACTCGTTCGATTGCGATTGATATGTTCGATTTACTAATCGATTACAAGAACTTTAATTGAATGAACCGAATGTTTTTTTTTTCGCACAGAACTATGCAACCATGGATAAGTCACAGATGTATAGACGAAAAATAACCTCACTTTTGGACTACCATTTTTCAAATACAATTTTACGATGCTATTCAAATAAATATTGTTGGAAAAAGTGATGAGATATCAAGTCGAAATCTTCGAAATATACGTGAAAGTGTTCCTTATTCCATTTATTGAGCGACTGCTTTAGAATTTTAACCAAACAGTTTTGTATACTTTTAGTTGAAAATGGATTCGAATAGACTATACCACGGCTTTTTGCTAGTTTAATTATTTTACTACCTTAGTAATGGATTTGGCTGGGCCCACGGAACGTTTGCGGCCTCCGTGCGCCGCTCCTCCCTCTGTAACAAACAAACATATGTTAACAAAAGCTATATCATAGATTACTACCTAACAGACACACCACTCTCATATAAAATCGAAAATATCTACGCTATATTAGCCTACTAAATCTGAGGAATGAAACCAGGCACTCACTACGAGGAAATAGGAATCTAAGCACGCGCTGAGAGAGGTGAAAATACCGTTCCTGCTGTGTGCAGTCGTGCGGAGTCGAATGCTCTTAAATGAAAGACTTGTATGAGCGCTTGTGCCGACGTCGGTACACCCAGCAGTAGGCAATTATCGCGTAACCTTGGGCGAGTGACGGAGGAGTACATTTAGTTGTTTTTTAGCAATTATATAGTTTAAAATGTTGATTACTACTTGCAATAACTATCAGATTTAAATGAATAAGTTACAGATTCGATTTGGGTATAATTAATAAAAAAAAAAGAAAATGGTGACACTAATGATATTGGAAGGGTGGTTAATAAAAATAAGACGAGAGATGGAAGTGAATTAACAATCCGAGAGTTATTATCTATAACAGTTGCAGTGCCACTCAGAGCTTTAAATCGCAAAGATCTTAGGGGCACGGCCACTGTGCCCGTCACCCTGAAACATAAGTTGACAAGACCAGATAAGAGAAGATCTGTAATTTCTCCAGCAACCTTACCCTTCCAAACCGGAACGCAGTAATGCTCACATTACTGCTTGGCGGCAGAAATAGGTAAGGTAGCTTATAGTTTTGATAAAAAAAGCATCAGATTCAATTGTCTGTCTGGTAACTAGTTGTCATTCGTTTTTCTCATACATCAGAGATGGCCACACCATGAAAACCGGTGTACAAGCCACTCAACCACGGAGGTCTTCCAATGCACTTGTCTATGATCTAAAGATATTTGAATTTGAACAATTGGCATCAGAACTTACTTCGTAAACGCCCTTCATGATTTGTAGTACAATTTGTTCCATGGATTTCATATTTTTTACACACTTCACTTTTTTTTTTATTACTGAGAAATATATGAAAGTTTTTCGTCACTCAGCGATTCCTCTATTACTGTAGAATTCACTATCCAATAATTAATAATTATCACATTTTTATTAAAAAAACGAACCTCAAAAATTTTGCTTGTACAGTCAAGAGCACGTCAAGCTTGACACTTTGAACCGTTCTTATCGTAAGCGGCATAGAGTTGTATTTAAATCTTAAATGTCAAGATTGATGTGCTCATGACCCTGCTTTACGTTATCGCTGTGTTTTATTTTCAAAGATTACATCTATTTGCATATTTGCAATATTTTCTTCAAATCTGAATGAGACTACCATTAAGGTACCCCCCTTTCTAATAAAAAAAAGAATCAACGAAATACGTCACACAAAAAAATATAGAACTTCCTCCTTTTTTAAAATCGGTTAAAAATAGATTTCCAACGTGAAACAATCGCGGAAAACTAAAAACTCGACATCTAAACTTAATTTAAGATTGTTTTAACAAAAGTAGTATACAATATCCACCCGCACAGACAGACAAGTGTAGACTGAGGAATTTCTATTATGATGTTAATGCTAAATAGTTTAGTCACAGAACGTAATAAACCAGACGGTTAAAAATTAACGCGAGAAAAACAGCTACGGATATATACAAGTTTATAATTGTACATAATATTTGGGCGGCCTTTATAAGTGGCTTAGCGGTTAGCGATCTAGATACTAGACGACGAGGTCCCGGGATCTATTCCCGATATGACCAAGTCTGATCCCAAAGTAGCCTTTTGAAAACCGGATGAAGTCGGTGACAACGGTCTATGACAACCCTGTACACTGATCTGGGGTCAGAATATGAACTTAGAAAGTCCCTGTGCACACACAGGTTACAGTACCCTTCTCGTATATCCAAAGGGTCGGTAGAGAGGGTCACTATAATCAAAACGAATGTAGAAAGATATGGTTCCTGGTCTGATGGATAGGGCTATCTACCGACCCGGTGGATAGGGATTTCCGGGTGGACCACGGGCTCCCCGGAAATAATCAGGGTTATGCGCCTGCACGGGCGTATCAGGTAGATCTGAATTCTGAGTATGGACTCGCCGGGGCTTGTGGCAGCTACAGAGACGGATATGAAATTCTTGGAATATACACAACTTATGGGTGTTACCCCAGTCTACGTCCAGTGGACATGATGATGGAAAGGCGCAATTAAATCATGTAATTCCATCGCACACTATCCGTGACATATCCCACGGAATACCGATAAGCAGGCAACTTTACGGCGGTGTTCAAAAGTAAGTATAGTCGTCTGTCCTTTTTTTGAAGACGACATGGAGTAAAATGACATTTATAGGGTTGCCAGTTTTCGTAAAATTTTAAATAGTTACGTAGTTGCTGTCGATAGATTTATCGATAGATTGGGAAAGAAGATAAAACTGAATTGTGAATGTTACGACGATCTAATGATTACTAATTGCGTCATTGCTTTCTTTATTCTTATTTTGAGAGCTGGCCTACTAGTATCGAGATAAATTTTTATTCATATACATATATTTTAACAAAAATTGCCGGATTTCATTATCTAAATTGAATGAAAATGAAAAGTTTTAAAATATGTCTCTTTGTATTTTTCAAAAATATTTTTAAATACAGTGTTTGTATGAACTTAAAAAAATTGACAATTTAAATGAACTTGTGCTCAGTAATTATTGGTTGAATAATGGGCTCGAGGACGATCCAAATGAAACAAGTTCGGCTATTTATTCCATAAGCGTGACCAATATTCAGTCGATAGAATGTTTATCGACTGCAATCACTAGCTGCTCGCAAGCGGGCAATAGTTTTGCAATGAACTGTAATTTTACTCTGTCTTCAAAAAAGACAGACTATAAGTAACAGTAGGATACTGACCGCGGGCTCATGTCGGCGCGCGGTCGGTGGCGGGGGCGCGGGGGCGGAGACCGAGCCCTGCGACGCGGTGTCGGCCGATGACGACGATGATTCTGCCAACAAACACACATTACATAATAAATAAATTTTGATACTAAATAGTTACACATAAGCCATATATTTATAAACTTTCATTCTACAGCTATATTTGTAAACCTCGTAACCTCAATTTTTTTTAAATAAATTATAGACACACGCTTGGCCACAATCTCACCTGTTGCTAAGCGACGGTGCGACCGACGGTGGGACGCGTTTGCCTAAAAAATGCCTATTTATCTAGCATTAAATAGTCCTAAATTGTATTTTTCGGGAAACACAGATTATTCTATTTTGTCATACGCGTTAGAAAGGGGGAAGAAAAGCGCCTAGCGCGAATGGGTGGTACATCAACGGCATAAGGATCGAGTGTTCCGGACTTTCCGGAACACTCCGGACACGGTACGGTGAGGGTGGAACTAAATTGAAAAGTTCCTGCGTACACTTCCCGAAATGTATCCGATAATAAACCGACAAGCAGGCTACGTTTCTTCAATCCTCGTAAAACTATACACAATTTCATTAAGAAAGAACATGATTATGGACATTAAACCTTAGAACCGTAAAGTCTAAACTCATGGTACAGTCAAGAGCACATCAAGCTTGACACTTTGTACTTTGGACTGTTCTTATCCTAAGCGGCATAGAGTTGGATTTAAATCTTAAGTGTCAAACTTGACGTGCTTTTGACCCTGTACCACGTTTAACAAAGGTAAAAGATTATTTTATAGGGAACTGTATACGTTTTTACAATAAGATTCCGGAGAATATATTAAGATTATCATTTCCTAAGTTTAAAACTTACATTAAAAGTATTTTAATTGAAAAGTCATATTACAAAATTGAAGAGTATGTGTAAGATAAAGAAGTATGGAAAGACAACATGAGTCTAGATTCCACACAATTGTGATTCAAAGTGTATTTATTCCATTAAGTTTCTTTGAAAAAAGCGATCCCTAGAGTTTCTTGCTCGTTGTTCTCAGAGAGATCAGCGTAGTGAACGAGCAGTAGCTTAAAAAATGACGTTTTCAAGTGTAAAAATATGCCTATGGAATAAATTATTATTTCACTTTGAATTAGACACGCGCCCAATGCGCACGATTGCTTTATCACGCGCGATAGAGAGTCTGTATAAAGCCCGCTATTGGCGTGCTAAAGAAGCGGGAGTTGGACTACTTGCCCAGTTAATATATACTATGGTTAGAATTTCAGTTAAGTTTTGGATTAACCAATGTACTTGGTAAAGATTCAATCCTTTCTGATGAAGGAAACTTACCAGATCTGTTGGACTGATGTGGAGCTTGCTGCTTGAAAGAGGACTCTCTCTCGCACGTCGGCTCTTGCTCCCTGAAACAATACAAATAAAAATGAACTCTATTGCAATAACATTAATCACAACCATCATTTCGTCCCGGGAAGTACTGCCACATTATCTATGTCTGCCGCCAAGCATGTGAGCATTACTACGTTCCGGTTTTGAAGGGTAAAGGTGCTGGTGAAATCATAGGCTCTTGAGACTTATCGACTTATGTATGTCTCAGTGTGATGTGCTAAGTGGCAGTGCCCCTCAGATCTTCGTGTTTTAAAGCTGTGAGTGGCACTGCAAGTGTTATGGACAGGCGTGTCGCTTACCATCAGGCGCACGACTTGTTCGTTCAGTCACATGGTATCATTAAAAAATACGTCACACGGCTGGGAAGGTTTAGGTTCGACACCCTGGCCCAATACGGTCTGCGTCGTTCACAGATCTTTCATCATCTTCTTCGATAAGCAGATTTTATTATGATGTTTTCATTCCCTACTTTGTACAGCCGGCGCGCTCACTTACGTATCCACTATTTGAATAGCACTTAGTACAAATAGTGGATATCGTCTGCTTAAAGGTAAAACCATATAAAGTGACATTTTTCACAAAAAATCTTCAAATTATGTACCAGTTGTAAGAAATTCACCGTCTTTATGCAGATAAAACTCTAAAGCTTTTTTGTTATCTAGTTTCACGTACAGAAAGATAGTGATTTTCTTACCATAGCTATATAAATTAAAAACATTTTGTGGAAAATGTCACTTATGTGGTTTTACCTTTAAACAGACAATATCTAAGTGAGGGCACCGACCCTACCTGTTTCTGTTTTGTTCAAGTTTGCAAATGCGACAAATACGATTTTCTACATAAAAGATTTTTTTAAATACTTCGATAATCTAACTTATTCTTTTTAGTGGTTGTTTTGAAAACTGTGAATCACGTATACTTCGTTTCAATCCATTTTCAACAAAATGTAAACAAACAAATCACTGAACCGACCATAGACGGTTTAGTGGTGGCCAATTGTAATGCCAACTACAAATTATTGAATGAATCGATTTGTTCTATTGAGTCATACTAGCGGTTTTCCCTACATAACCTATTAAGCAAATTTAGAATTTCCGAAATCTTAATTTTAAGTCCTCCTTCAAATCCTCAAACTTAGATACTCGTTCGATTGCGCTTAAAATATTCGATTTACTAATCGATTACAAAAACTTTAATGCACTATGCAACCATGGACAAGTCATAGATATATAGATGAAAAATAACCTCACTTTTGGACTACCATTTTTCTAATACAATTTTACGATGCTATTCAAATAAATATTGTTGGAAAAGTGATGAGATATCAAGTCGAAATCTTTGAAATATACGTGAAAGTGTTACATATTCCATTTATTGAGCGACTGCTTTAGAATTTTAACCAAACAGTTTTGTATACTTTTCTCGAAAATGGATTGGAACAGACTATACTAATTTATTTTTAACCGGTTTCAAAAAGGGAGGTTCGACTGTATTTTTTTGTGTGTATCTTAACGATACTACTTCCACAATTGTGAATAGATTTCGTTCGCACCACGCGTTTTAAAACCTCATTTAATAATTTTTTCGTAATACCAAGTGACGGAACGAACAAGTTGTAAACGACACGCCTTAAAGTAACAGAAGCAGAGCCACTCAGAGCTTTAAATCACAAAGATCTTAGGGGCACTGCCACTGCGCCCATCACCCTGAGACGTAAGTTGCCAAGTCCCGTGTGCCTGTAATTTCACCAGCACCCTACTTTTAAAAACCAGAACGTAGCGATGTACATTACTGCTTTACGGCAGAAGTAAGGTGGCAGTACTACCATGAACAAATTCTTCACAAGGAGCTCTACTGCTTCTAAGCCTTTAAATATTACGATACCCTAACTTAGTCCTTTCTAAGAGGTGTTTTGAGAAACCCTGAAACACATGTTTGTTTATTATTATATTTGATTTAAAATGCAGAGCAGGTGGCTAAGACTTGTCGTGATCGTAGGCGATAACGCGCGAAGTTCCGCCTCATATTTTTTGCAGTCACTAACCCGAAATTGCAGAACTAGGTCAGCGCAAGAAAAATGTAACAGCCATTACGGTTCTTGCCACTTGTTTTTCGTATAATATTATTTCTTTTACATATACCTATTATTAAGGCCCATTTAGACGGAGAGAGTTTCTCGTCTCGAAGATACGATTATCGAAAGAATATAAAAAACTTTCCTCGTCTAAACATTCGCGATTATCGCCTTTCAATATTGAACGTCTCCGTGAAACAGAACTTGAAATAAAAATCGTATTTCAAGTTTTTGTACCAGCCGTTTCTACCATGAGTACAGTGCGCGAGGGTGTTTTGATTATCACTGTTTTTCTAAGACAAAAATTAAGGAAACGAAAACGAAAAAAATGGTTAAAAAATGTTATAAAATTTAAAAAAATATAATACAGTGCAAAGAACTTAATACTATCAGCAGTTCCAAATTTCAATTATTTTTGCGTCATTTTGATATATTCATAGTCAATACCGCAGTAATCACTGAACTCGAAGGCAATTCTCGCACTCAAAACGGTTCGAACCAATTTGTACGATAATCGTATGAACTTGAAAAAATGTCATACGAGATCGTGTTTAGACAAGTCGAAAACTCGTAAGCAAAAACCTCCTTACTACATATTTCTCTGTGTAAACAGTCGAGGAGGCCATTAAGTTGCTTGCGAATCTCGTACATAATCAAGGCGGTATAGTTCTTGCCTCAATGTAAACATTATGATACGATATCTTATGGCGATTATTGCTTACGATAATCGCGTACGATTTTTCGTCACGAAGCGTGCGATAAACTCTCTCCATCTAAATGGGCCTTTACACACAGTAAACACTTCGGCAGGTCGATACAGAACCTTACGGATAACTCTGTTGTCGACCGATTCTATTTTCGACACAATAAACGAACGTCAAACTGCCGTATTTGAAAAACCTATCCGAAATGACGCCACCCTCGTACGATTACTCGAACTTTTCGACCGGCAAAGGCTACAAACGTTATACAGAACACAGTTATCGAATGAAGGTTACCGAACGTCCGATTGTTTTCTTCGGTAACTTATCGGGTGATCCTAAGCATCCGATGTGTACATCTATACTATCACCATAGAAGGTGTGATAAACAAGAGGCGCAGACGTCTGACGATGTAATATGAAAATCTCTTATTCTTTTAAACAAAGTCTGGATTTGGTTCAATTTTATTAATTTAGTTTAATGTAAGACTAATGCATTCCTATATTTCAGGCCTTTAAAAATCTTAAAAATGTATATAAAAGGACTTTCATTTTTAACCGACTTTAAAAAAAGGAGCAGGTTCTCAATTCGACTGCATGTTTTTTTTGTATGGATGTTACGCGATAACTCCGGTATTTGTGAACCGATTTTCATGATTCTTTTTTTGTTGGAAAGAGGGTACCTTTATTATAGTGGTCCGTTTAATTTTGAAGAAAATCATCCACCTCTAAGGGTGGCTGCCCACGCATGAAGATTCATTTTTATAAATAGTGCCTAATTTTTATTATAAGGAGCAATTATTTTAATAGTTGATTTAGCTATTCTCCAATTCAAGGCGTTTTTCTCTCTCAATATACTTTGAATAGTGAGAAAATATTTTTATTATCTCCTGTGTCAAGTCCCGTATAATGCCGAACTAGGGGATGAATCTGGGTTTGCACTTTCCGGTAACCGATTTCAATAAAACTTGGTAATTATATGTAATTCCACGTACTTTTGAGGTCGGTTTTTTTAGTACTCTGTACTGAGATTATTCTTATCATCTATTTCACCGACTAACTCCGTAAACGCTGTTGATTAACGATATCGTATCCGACTCCTAATCGAACTTTTAACGCGAATGTTCTAAATAGCTCTGATTCGGTTAAAATACCGAAGAGTTCTGAATCGGGGTGCTGATACGATGTTATTGGGTTTACACTCAAGTAATCTGCAGTGTTATTTTATGTCAATGTTTAAAAGTGTTTTTAACCGACTCCAAAAAAGGAGGAGGTTCTCAATTCGTCTGCATCATGGACCAATAATTCCAGAGCACTGCTAATCTCCATACTACAGGTCGTAACTCTGAAAAAGTCCAGTCCAGTCAAAATCCCGTCTTCTGGAAGTAGTTTATATATATTATGTACATGACAGTGGATATCAAGTAATTCCTCTTTAAGCGGTTACACACGATGACCTTTAGTAGCGATGCAAACGCGATGCAGTCGTTAATCGTCTACCTTAATGCCCCCTGTACACGATGGGCCATCACGATGGCACGTAGTGGCCGCCATTGTCGTGGCGTCATCAACACGATGGCTGTCAGTGGTGCCAGATTAAGCTGTTTTCGCCATTTAGGCTACTGCGAGTGGTCGCGTGGCGATTGAAAAAGTGATCAGCGACTCGGGGATATTTAGGCTTTTTTAAAATAGGAAAAGGCGATTTTAGGCTACTTAATAAAATGTCTGGGGAATTACAAACTTGATAGGGAATTTTGTGGGCAATGGAGTTTCAAAACAACTCACTTGGAGGTTTGAGTATTTGTACGTGTGGGGAATTGGAGGCATAAGAGAATTCATATTCCCCAATTCCCTGCAGCCTGCAAAATTGCTTTCTTTGATTATCAGGGATTTTATGACTTGGGCGAATATCAGCTGCTTAGCATCTATAAATTAGCGAATTCATTAGCGCGCAGATGGACGTGGAGTTATTAATTTACTACGTATAAATATTATAAGTGCGCACCAGAACCAAGTTATTAAAAAAAATGGCGCAAAAGAAAGTGGTGGACGCTGACGTTCCACCGTAATAGAACAAGGTTTGTTTTTTTAATAAAAAACTGAATAATGGGCCATCATTTGGAGGGCGCGCCAGTCTACGCGCCACTATCCTTTGATGTGCGCCCGGAGAACCGACAACAAAGCAATCACAGGCCATCGTGACTGCCACTACGCCACTACGTCCTCTACACGATGGGTC